GGAGGCAGGAGACTCGCTTGAGCCCAGGAATTGGAGGTTGCTGTGAGCTGTGATGCCACAGCACTCTACCCAGGGGGACAGCTTGAAGCTCTGTCTCAAACAAAAACAAACCCATCAATTTCTGTCATTTTTGTTGCTCGTATGTAGAAATATACCTGATTTCTGCATATTGAGCTTGCTAATCTCCCTTATTAGTTCTAATGGCCTTTTAGATTTCATAGGATTTTCTACATACATGTTCTTGTCATCTGTAAAGACAGCTCCAACTCCCTCCACTCCACTCTGGTTGCCATTTCTGTCCTTTTAATAGTGGCTAGAGTTTCTGGTACAGTGTTGGATAGCAGCAGTGAGGGCAGACATCTTTTTCTTGTTTACCATCTTGGGGGAAAGGTTTCAGTACTGTGATGTTAGCTGTACAACTGTTATAGATGTTTTTTGTCAGATTGAGAAAGTTTCCTTTTATTCTTTGTTGAGCATTTTAAATCAGTAATGTATGTTGCTGGATTTTGTCAGATGGCTTTTCTGCATCTGTTGTAATGACCATTTTTTAAGTTTGTTAATCTGGTGAATTATATTGATTTTGAAGTGCTAAATCAAGCTATCTTCTGGGATACCCTAGGTTGTGATGTCTGCCTTTTACAAGCTGTCTGTTCAAGTTGCTAAAATTTTGGTTAGAATTATTGTGTCTGGGTTCATGAGGGATACTGGTCTGCAGTTTCCTTTCTTGTAATGTCTCTGTCAGGTTTGGTATCAAATAACAGTAAGTTCATAGAATGAGTGGGAAAATATTTCCTCTTTTTCAGTTTTCTGGGAAAGTTTATGTAGAATTGGTATTATTTCTTCTTTAAATATCTGGTATAATTGTGACATTAACTTTTTCCTTAATATTTTCATTGTAATAAAATACACATAACCCTTATTATACTAAACCATTTTTAAGTACAACGTTAGGCTCGGTGCCTGTGGCTCAAGCGGCTAAGGCGCCAGCCACATACACCTAAGGTGGCGGGTTCGAATCCTCAGCCCAGGCCCGCCAAACAAC